CATCTATTAATTAGACAGTTTTCCATCCTTTAATTGAACAGTTTTCCGTCTTTTAATTGGACAGTTTTCTGTCCTTTAATTGGACAGTTTTCCGTCCTTTAATTGGACAGTTTTCCATCTTTTAATTGGACAGTTTTCCATCCTTTAATTGGACAGTTTTCCGTACTTTAATTGGACATGTTTCCTTCCTTTAATTGGACAGTTTTCTGTCCTTTAATTGGACAGTTTTCCATCCTTTAATTGGACAGTTTTTCATCTATTAATTGGACAGTTTTCCATTTTTAATTGGACAGTTTTACATCTTTTAATTGGACAGTTTTCCTTCTTTTATTGGAACAAATAAAGACGCTTGATAATTGAACAGTTTTCCATCTTTTAATTGGACAGTTTTCCATCCTTTAATTGGACAGTTTTCCATCCTTTAATTGGACAGTTTTCCATCCTTTAATTGGACAGGTTTCCTTCCTTTAATTGGACAGTTTTCCATCCTTTAATTGGACAGTTTTCCATTTTTAATTGGACAGTTTTCCATCTTTTAATTGGACAGTTTTCCGTCCTTTAATTGGACAGTTTTCCGTCCTTTAATTGGACAGGTTTCCTTCCTTTAATTGGACAGTTTTCCATCCTTTAATTGAACAGTTTTCCATCTTTTAATTGGACAGTTTTCCTTCCTTTATTGGAACAAATAAAGACGCTTGAATAATTGAACAGTTTTCTGTCCTTTAATTGGACAGTTTTCCGTCCTTTAATTGGACAGTTTTCCATCCTTTAATTGGACAGTTTTCTGTCCTTTAATTGGACAGTTTTCTGTCCTTTATTTGGACAGTTTCCCATCCTTTAATTGGACAGATTTCCGTCCTTTAATTGGACAGTTTTCTGTCCTTTAATTGGACAGTTTTCCATCCTTTAATTGAACAGTTTTCCGTCTTTTAATTGGACAGTTTTTCATCTATTAATTGGACAGTTTTCCATCTTTTAATTGGACAGTTTTCCTTCTTTTATTGGAACAAATAAAGACGCTTGAATAATTGAAGAGTTTTCTGTCCTTTAATTGTACAGTTTTCCGTCCTTTAATTGGACAGTTTTCTGTCCTTTAATTGGACAGTTTTCTGTCCTTTAATTGGACAGTTTTCTGTCCTTTAATTGGTCAGTTTTCCGTCCTTTAATTGGACAGATTTCCGTCCTTTAATTGGACAGTTTTCTGTCCTTTAATTGGACAGTTTTCCATCCTTTAATTGAACAGTTTTCTGTCCTTTAATTGGACAGTTTTTCATCTATTAATTGGACAGTTTTCCATTTTTAATTGGACAGTTTTTCTTCTTTTATTGGAACAAATAAAGACGTTTGAATAATTAAACAGTTTTCCGTCCTGTAATTGGACAGTTTTTCATCTATTAATTGGACAGTTTTCCATTTTTAATTTGACAGTTTTCCTTCTTTTATTGGAACAAATAAAGACGCTTGAATAAT